AGTTAAATAAAGAAAAGGAGTGTTCGGATGAGAAGTCAGAGCAAAATTTTAAATTTAATCATTAGGAATACTAATCTTGCGCCATCAGACTACTGGGACACCTACATTTCAAAAAAAATTGGCATTTTTACTTCCCGAGTGTAAGCGAAAGGAGTATTGTAGACATCGTTCACTGTAAAGTCAACACAGCTGTAAAGCTGCATAGAAGCACATAATCGGTCGGGCCCAGTCCACTTTCAAATTTAAGGGGTGGACGCACCCTCAGAGGCGTCCGTCATCGTTTCTTTGTCTAACTGCGTAAGGGTACCTGTTTAGGTTAGTGCCTACTAGATTCATTCGCATTCCTGCTAGCGTGTTGACAAGTTCACTTAAGTTTATGTTTCCCTGTGTTATTGTTGGCGATTTAAAAAAATAATTTTAAAAAACCACCTCTTTCTGAAGTGTGCATGTTACGTTACTGACTAACAGTCCGTTGTCAGATTCTGATGACTCACCATGTTGAACTTAAAATAATCAATCTCTAATCGAGTCCATTGGACGAATGGCCACTTTTATGTTTTCTCGACGTTTCATGACCCCTATAGTACGAAAAAAGTAGTCTCCCGTTTCCGTCTGTCAGTCTGTTTGTCTGTCTGTATATATTTTTATTAGACACGTAATTTCCAAAACTGCTGGTCCAATTGTTGTCAAATTTTGTATGTATATTCGAAATAACATGTAGATGATTAAACACTAACCAAAATTTGGCTAATAATCCTCACCAACAATTTGATGACGTCATTTCAATTAATGGTATTTTAAAATGATTTGAATGTTATACACAAATATACTCGTTCAAATTTTCGTAGAAAAACTTGCAAGGCATAATAACGTTTTATCCCTTACACGTTTTGTACGTCTCCGTGGCGCAGATGTATTGGAGATAATGGCGACCTGCGGTACTGTGATTGTGGTTTAATGCCCTTTTCTTTTTTTTTCTTGCATTGGTGTGACTACTTTATTGTTCAATTTAAGAAAGAGTTACCCCATTTTCTCGAAAATGTGAAGAATACGCACGTCTCTATATAATAATGATAAAATAAGAATTTTAATATTCAGAACATTTTGTTCGATTGTGGTTGAATTAATAATTTTAGTCCTGTTTTGAGAAAACAAACTCATTCAAATGAAACTAACTTCTATGTGACATTCTTTCGATGTATAAACATAAATAAACACTTGAGCTTCAGATTGCTATTATTACTGCTAAAGGACAAGGGGTGTTATTTATGCCTCTGGTTTTTACTTTACAGTGGTTATCACAAAACGAAAATCGTAAAATCAAATTTTATAATTTTTTTAAAGAACTGGATTTGTCGGATTATATGTATAGCCTTCGACCAATTTTTACTTCCCGAGCGTAAGCAAAGGAAGTATTGTAATCGAGTCCGTCGGCCGACTCTCTATTTTTACGTTTTCTCGATCTTTCATGACCCCTAGAAGACGAAGAAATAGGTCTCCCATTTCCGTCTGTCTGTCCGTCCGTCTGTCCGTCTGTCCGTCTGTTGTCCCGGATTTTTATTAGACAGATAATCTCCGAAAGTACTCGACCGATTATTGTGAAATTTTGTACTTATATTAAGAATATCATGTAGATGGTAAAACGCTAACCAAAATTTGTCCAATCATCCCCACCACTAATGCGATGACGTCACTTCACAATTGTACATAGTAAATGGGTTTTCAATTGTATAAAATAACATAGTCCTACACATGTAGTTTACAACTCTGAATCGACTTTTCACCCGAAACGTCCAGATTTTTGGAAAAAAAATCAAAATTATAAAACAACATTTTGAAATTTAATTTTTAATCTGCTAACCAGAATGCTTTGAAATGTTGCAGATGTTTTAAGGCTATAAAGAGCATCATAAATCTTTAGTCAAAAAATATTTGCTTATCCCCTCCAAAAACTTTATGACGTCAGCTCAAAAGTTTGTGGAATAAATCATATCTAAAATGTACAAAATATGATGAGCCTGTACTTGTGATCTATCACTCCATTCATATTTTTTGGATTTGCATATACAGGGTGACTCAAAAAAATTAATGAATGCGTAAATATATTTTATTGATTTAATCAGGAACTACAAAACCGAATGCTCCGAAATCTTGCAGATGTTTTAAGGTCATAAAGAGCATAATAAATGTTTAGTCAAAATATATTTGCTTATCCCCTCCAAAAACTTGATGACGTCAGCTCGAAAGTTTGCCGAATAAATCATATCTAAAATGTACAAAATATGATGAGCCTGTACTTGTAATTTATCACTCCATTCATATTTTTTGGATTTGCATATACAGAGTGACTCAAAAAAATTAATGAATGCGTAAATATATTTTATTGATTTAATCAGGAACTACAAAACGGAATGCTCTGACATCTTGCAGATGTTTTAAGGTTATAAAGGGCATAATAAATGTTTAGTCAAAATATATTTGCTTATCCCCTCCAAAAACTTGATGACGTCAGCTCGAAAATTTGCCGAATAAATCATATCTAGAATGTACAAAATATGATCAGTCTGTACTTGTGATCTATCACTCCATTCGTATTTTTTGGATTTGCATATACAGGGTGATTCAAGAAAATAAATGAAAGCGTAAATTTATTTTACTGATTTACTCAGGAACTACAAAAGCGAATGCTTCGAAATCTTGAAGACATTTTAAAATTATCATAAGCATGGTAAATTTTTGATCAAAACGTATTTGGTCGTCCCCCCTAAAAAATTTATGATGTCACCACAAAATTTTGCTGAAAAAATCCTATCTAAAATGTACAAAATATGGTGAGTCTCTTCTTGTGATTTATCATTCCATTCAAATTTTTTCGATTTGCATATACAGGGTGACTCAAAAAAATTAATGAAGGCGTGAATTTATTTTATCGATTTAATCAGGAATTACAAAACCGAATGCTTTGAAATCTTGGGAATATTTTAAAGTTATTATAAGCATGGTAAACTTTTGTTCAAAATGTATTTGTTCATCCCTCCTAAAAAAATTGATGACGTCACCCTTAAATTTTGCTGAATAAATCCTATCTAAAATGCAAAAAATATGATGAGTTTGTACTTGTGATTTATCATTCCATTCATATTTTTTAGATTTTCTTAAGAGGTGGTTCAAAAAAATTAATGAAGTCAATTTATTTTATTGATTAAATTAAAGGCAACACTTATTATTAGTATTACACCCCAACCAACCCAATTTGGTAGACACAAAATTTGTTAAAGGAAAAACTCGGTTGAAACATAAGGGTAGCACGCTTATTTACATCGACTTTAACATTACAGACCTGCATTTGTTTTATGCGTTCACTTGATTCCGCGAATGTGAAATAGACATGTTTATAATCAACCAATTGTGAATTTCACCGTCAAGAATTAAAATAAAACCCAATGTTTTATATAATAAGCGGAAGTCGAAGCAATAAAACCGACGGTCGTTTTGTTTACATTTTCTCTGTTTGGCTCTCACGTATGCTGTTACGCCTGTCATCTTAAATTAAGAATGTTTATACATACACGATTTTCAGTTGCCTCTGATACGTAGGTATACGTGAGTAAATTGTTTCGTTATTTTATTGATTATTACAAATCAATATTCAAACGACCCAATTCATTTTCCCGAAAATTTGAGAATATAATAATTTTATTCTTAGTATTATACTACATCTATCCCAACTGATATACGTGTCCTTGCAAAAATGTTGATGACGTCATCGCAATTTTTTTTTAAATTCCCACTACAAAAATGTAGTGAGAAAAAAAACACAATAGGCATGCAGTCGTCAAGTTTCCGACAGCGAGGGAAGTACTGTCTAAACTCTTTAGACCAATTTTTTATTGTTTAAATTAAGAACCTCATTTTTTAGATTTGCTGGGTCATTAAAAAAAAAATTAATGAATCGGTCAATTTATTTTATTGAATAAATCAACATTATTGTCTTATTGTAAACATGGTAAATTGTTAATCAAAATCTATCTGTTTATTCCCTACAAAAAATTGCCGAATAAATTCTACTCAAAATGTGCAAAATATGATGAGTTTTTATCATAGCGTTAATATTTTTTAGATTTGCTTAAACAGAACGTGTCTCGAAAAAATTAATGAATGTGTCAATTTATTTTATTGATTAAATTAGGAACGGTTCACTCCATTTTCCCAGAAAATTTTGGGAATACAATATTGTTATTTTTATTATTACTCTGCACCAATCCATGTTGATGACGTCATCAGAAAATTGTGTAAAGAAAAAACTGGATATGTTTTCAGGAGCGAGGGAAGTTTGGTCGAAACAACTTTGGACCAATTTTTTTCTACAGCTGTTTCAAAAATTTTATTATTTTCAAAATTTGTTCATAAGAAAAACATGTGTCAGATCATATGATACAATTTTCATCTAAGTAGTGTACGTAAATTGTTCGAATTACTGCATTTTTTTGCAGTACGTTGGAATTTAGTCGGAAAACAACGACATTAAAAAAAATGAGCATGAGGCAAGTCCATTTTAAAAAGCAAAATATCTCTTTATTTTCCAACGTTAAAACGAAATTTTTTTTAGGACTTGTTTAGTTCGAGTTATCTTTCGCGTTACCATGTCTATTTTACTACCCACGGTACAACCGTATCAAAAATATCCTGAAAATAAAACCAACTCTTATTAACCACACTCAATTTTCGCTGCTTATCTAGACCACAGCCGCCTACCCAACGACTGCCCGTATTTCAGGTAGAAAATTTATCAATTCGTTTCCAAGACAGCGAAAAATTAATTTTATTTGTCGTTCCGATTCAACAAAATATTGGAACCCCACGCAAATAATTTTTCATTTGTAAGTCAAAGCCCCGGCATGTTTTATCTCGATCAGCCGGCAGAAATCCTCTTTCCTTTTTCTTTCCTTCGCGTCGGTCATATTTTCCCACCTATTTGCTAGAAAAATGCGCCAGCTTACCACTTTCCATCGAGACGCGTGCCTTGTACCCGCCGAAATGATGGGAGTAATCTGAGCTGAATTTTAATTTCAGCTTCGACCTGTTACTGACGTGTCGAAGCAGTTTCAATTTGGAACTCCAGTCGCCGCACAGACGCCTCGACGAGCTCGAATTTATCGTCGCGCTCATGTTGTTATTTTCCAAAATCTCCAGATAGTCGTAGCTGCATCTGGAAAGACAAAATCACGAACTGTTAATATGGAAATGAGGCTAAATATGTGCAGGAGATAAGGCGAGCTTTTCACACGTCATCGATCGCGCGCTTTAATGTCTCGCCTCTTGCGCCTAATTTGCATGAAAGTATCCTTTGTATAATTTTTTCGGGAATGCGAGCCGTCGCTCGAGAAAATGGACAAGACGAGATGAATAAAAAGAACGATTATTGCAAATGGACATTGGAAGGCTGCTGAATGGATGCAAGACATAAATCACTTTTTAAAAATAAGTTGCTTGCAGGGTTTGATGAATTTCTTTTTAAATTAAAATTCGACGAAAATTGGTATCGGTCATATATCTTCTGTAACTGACAAAACCAAGACCATTTTTTTTCGGTAGAGTTCGAAAGCATCGATAGCATTAACTGACGTTTTACGAAATGATAAATTGTTGTGTATGTTGGTATGATTTTTTATGGAGGGTTGGAAAAGGGTTTAATCGACTATTTGATTTGCACTGGCTGTTCGGATGTTGTACATCAAATGAGGTACGATGTTATCAAAAGATGTATCCCTAGAATATACAGGGTGTCTCAAGTTATATGTTCTACTTGTATGTCTCGATTTTTAGAGAGATTAAAGTTCGAAATTCGCAACTATATTTATGTTAAAAAAATTATTTTGTATTTTAAACAGTTTGATATTTTTTCTTTATTTAGTGATATATTTCATTCAAATGTTTAAAAATGTTTCAAAATATTCAAAATAAGGAAATAAACATTAAAATTAATAATTTGTAAACCTGCCAATAAATAGGATAATGAGTAATGCAATATCAAAGATTTTTTAACCAGAGAAACTAGATATCATTTTCATATGTCAAGAAAATCAAAAAAAGAAAAATGAAAAGATTACACAAAGACAATTCTCCAGTTATACAAATTCCAAGCTGCATGTTTTCACACGTTTAACAAAATATTTTTCAGAAAATCATGAAACGTTTACAAATTTAGTCGAACCTGTTAGTTGTGGATAACCTTTATATATAAAAACAAACATGATAAGTAATACCATTAACAGCGTAAGAGGCTAAATGATATTGTATAAATATATTTCGAGAACCTATACATTTTTTTTATGACACTATATATTTTTTAGAATTCTCGTAGAGCTTGTTTTTCATTAACTATTTATATTTTAATCATATATCCTCCGCCGCTGTCTATGATTCGAACGCAGTTTGTTATGAAAACACACTTGTTTATATTTGATCTGGAGGCAATTGTCCTTAGGAAACGGACAGGAGCGGCTCACGAATTGAGAAGTTGATGAAACAGGGCACAAGATAGTCCAATGTTTAATTATATCGTCGTGTTTGCGTTTTTAGTTCACATGGAAATTTTTTCACAAAAAATTGAATTTTAGAAACATTAAGCAAGTCAAAAATGTGTAATTTTTCCATGCCAGAAAATCTAATCTGTATTTAATAAAAAGATTTTCCTTAATTTCTGTTTTTGTTCACCATATATTATGGGTGCATTACGGATAGACTACATATTAAATGGCATCAATTTTGTGTACAGATTACAGTCTACCTCTGTGTGGTGTGTTGAAGCGCACCGTTTAACCTATCAATAATGTGACGACGTCCTACACATGTAGTTTATGATTCCGTGTTGAGTTTTTACCCGAAATGTCCAGATTTTTGGGAAAAAAGTCAAAATTATGAAACATTTTGCAATTTAATTTTGAAACTGCAAAACTGAATGCTGTGCAATCTTGGAGATGTTTTAAAGGTTTGATAAGCATGATAAATTTTTAATCGAAATATATTTATTTGCTTATTCCCTCCAAAAAATTTAAGACGTCAGCTTTAAATTTTGCCGAATAAATCGTATCTAAATTGTTCAATATATGAGACTATACTTTCGATTTATCATTCCATTCATATTTTTTGGGTTTGTCTATACAGGGTACCTCAAAAAAAACTAACAGATCAATTATTTGACTGAATAAATCAAGAATAATTGTAAAACTGAATACTTTGAAATCTTGCGGACTTTTTAAAGTCATTGTAAGCATGGCAAATTATTAATCAAAATATATCTGTTTATTCCCTCCAAAAAATTGATGACAAAATTTTGCCAATTAATTTCTACTCAAAATGTGCTTATACAGGTGGCTCAAAAAATTAATGAATGAATGAATTTATTTTATTGATTAAATCAGGAACGGCTTCTCCATTTTCCCAGAAAACTTGGGAATACAATATTGTTATTTATAGTATTACACTGCACCAATCCAAGTTGATCTACTTACGTGTCCTTGCAAAAATGTTGATGACGTCATCACAAAATTGTGTAAAGTAAAAACTCAACTTGAAAATGCTGGATAGGTTTCATTGTACTTTAGGTGCGAGGAAAGTTCTGTCAAAACAACTTTCGATCAGTTTTTAAAATATTAGAACAAAAAAATTTTATTGACCAGAAATGTAGCGATCAGGAATAACAAAAATAATACAGTGTTCATTGCTGGGACATTGACTCACTTCCCTCACAGGACAAGGTGCCTCTGGAAACGGATTAACAATTGTTACAAAAACGTGAATCAACATTATTTCAGCAAGGACACGTATGTCAATTCCGACACGTGCAGTGTAATACTAATAACAAAACATTGGGGTGTATTTTTCTTGAGATTTGATCACTAAAAAAATAGGGTGAACCATTCTTGATTTAATCAATAAAGAAAATATAGATAATAAGGGTCCCAGTTTAAGATAAAAAAGAAGCTACTTAGTCAGCGCTTCGAAAGCGATACCTTCGGGTTAGAAAGTATAGGGGTTGTAGAAGAAAAGTGGAGGACTTAAGTTGATTACTACAAAAATGGACCATTTTAGACATGTTTCAAGTTTCTCGTAGTCGAAATAAGTCTACAGATATTAAGAAAAAAAAGACAAAATGTAGCCCCGCCCACCCACCCTATCTCAATTGTGATGAATTTTTCATTCGTTGTCAGATCGAGAGGCGGGGTTTAATTGCAAGATCCATATTTGTCTACAAAAATTTACCATTTTAAACGTGTTTTAAGTTTCCAAGGATAAAAAAAATCATCACAATTGAGATGGGGTGGGTGGGCGGGGTTTATATTTTTGCTTGTTTTCTTAATATACATAGGCCCGGTTGTATAAAAGCCTGTCAAGTTAGATGTCAGCTAACACTCTGTCAACTTTAACAGCTTGTTAACATTGGATTATTTGTGACACCGTTGTATAAACAATTTACGGACGCTAATTAACTCACAAACCTTTGACAACGAGTTAACATAGGATCACGTTCGAATACTAGAAATTTTATCGTTTATGAATTGATGTTGGTATGAGTTCACGCGTTGTTGACGTTTTCTCTAACGTAACTTCAGTTTTTGATTTTCTTGTGACTTGTATTGTGTGGTGTGGTAGTTTTTGGTGGGTAACATGCAAGATAAACCCATTATTGAACATAAAGGTACATCATCTGTTACGACAAAAAGAACAAATCGTGGTAATGATTCTACCCATCAAAGATTTATGAATGTCAAGATTGTCCGATTGTCCCCGAAAACTTGCTGAAAAGATGCATTTGCCAGAAATCGTAATGTATGAAGAAGTTGCAGTTTTGCATAAATAAAGTGATTTCTTTTTAATGCGGGTTCTAGGTGATGCTGATGACTGATTAGATTGAGCAACTGTATCAAGGTGTTTTTTTTTATCCTCCACCTTTTCGTAAAATCCACATCATCATACAGCCTAAATGGATTCTTACGAATGAAAATACGTCTTGGATGCCGCATTCTTACTGCTTGCAATCTCCTTTCTTCATCACTGTTTTCACTCATCGAAGACGAACGAGATAATGATATCTTCTAAGATTTGCATGACCAATTATAGTAAATACAACCATTACTACGCAATTACGTTTCCTTTATTTCAAAAACCTAAGAAATCTTGTCCTTAAAGCTTTATACAAACATGAAATCGAAACTTAATTGATGGCGGATGACTGATTAGCTGACAGAAAGTTAACTAAGGTTTGACATGATGTTAACTTTGACGATAGCTTTATACAACCCAAATCCAGAGTTAACACAGGTTTGACATATTGTTAGTTAACACGTTGTTAATCGATTGTCAACTGCTTTATACAACACTTGACATTAGCAAACGAATTTAACATTGGTTTAACAATTTGTTAAAGTTAACAAAGGCTTTATACAACCGGGCCATAGTATTCTTTGAACAACACGATACTCAAAAGCATATTTTTAGTTTCTTGTAAAGAAATAAGTATTTTGCAGTTAAGCTCCGCCCCCTTGGTTCACCGCGAATAAAAAAAATCATCACAATTAAAATAGGGTGGGTGGGCGGGCTTATATTTTGCCTTTTTGTTTTAATATGTGTAGATGTCTTTTCACAACATGAAACTTAAAATAGGTTCCACCCCATAACTGCAAAATCCATATTTCCTCGCAAAAATGTATCATTTTAACCATGTTCTAAGTTTCTTGTTGTGAAATGATGGATATGTATATTAAAAAAAAAAGGCAAATTATAATACTGCTATCGTGCAATTAGGATTTTTTTGCGAAAATTTGGATATCTAGGGCAAAAACTCTACAACACAAGTGTAGCAGTATATTACATGTAATATTTAAATCATTTTAGTATAGGATTTTTTGAGTTGACGTCATCAAATTCTTTGGGGGGATGATTAGCTAAATTTTGGTTTTCACTTTACCATCTACATGATATTATTAATGTTCACACAATATACAACAATTGGGTAGTAGTTTTGGAGAACATCTGTCTAATAAAAATTGACGCAGACGATAGACAGACGTCAGACAGATTTATAAAATTTGATTTTGCGGATTTTATTTTATTATCCTGTAATAATGATAAGTGGAGGTAATGAAGCAGGTTTCGGAAGAATAGGGTGAGCCATTTATTATATTTATTTAAATAAATAAATTGACT